ACCAATTTTAACAAAGAAATTCAACGTAATAAAGGCGTGGTTTTTTTAGAAAGAAAATATCGCATTCGAGTGCAGTTTCAATATCAGTCTCGAATGCGATGTTTTCTCTCTAAAAAAACCACGCCTTTATTACGTTGAATTTCTTTGTTAAAATTGGTAAGTGAGTGCTTTAGTCTCCTGACTACAGAATTGCGATCTCAAAATTCGAGAAAAATGACGAGAAGCTAAAAAAATGGAACCAATTGATGCAATATATCGCATGCCATTCTTACACAAAATATGACATCCATCGAATCACCTTAATGTGGGTTGGTTCCCTTCTGATAAAGTCATGGGCGTAGCTAGGGGGTCCTGGGGGGGTCTCCCCCCCCCAGAAATCTCGTGCCCCCCCCTCAGAAAAACGGGATCCTTCATTCCTCACCCTCCCCCCGCTCTCTTCACCACGAGAGGTGGTCCCATGCCCCCCCCCCCCAAGAGAAATTTCCTAGCTACGCCCCTGGATAAAGTCGGTCTAAATACAAAGGTACCCAGCGATACGTTACTGAAATATCATTTTGATGTGGACAGATACCAGTTCCCTTCACTGCAAGTGCTTGGGGAGGAGTTGGTGAGTGTACTGGATACCCTTCATGTTCGTTACGCCATTGGATTAGGAGAGGGCGCAGGAGCCAATGTCATCGCCAGGTTTGGATTGGCTCACCCCTCTAGAACCCTCGGTCTCATTCTCATCAACTGCACAGCTTCCGCTACCTCGGTCAAAGAGAATTTTAAAGCAAAGGTAATTCGAATCCTATAATTCCTAATCTTACTTCATACGGATGGTATTCGATATATCAAACAGGTGAGATTGTATCGATATTGATTGGTTCAACGTGTGTAAGCATAGCCCCAAAAGTCAATTTAGATGTCTGAGGGAACGAGTCTTCTATGATAGATTTTTTATTCCTTTGAGTACCAAATGGCAATCAAAAAAGAAATTGTGAGCAGGGTGTCTAGTATTTTTTAATTTTGAAAAATCCTGATATTTTATAAAAAATTCCTAATTTTTCCATTTTGAAAATTTCTGCTATTTTCCTGATTTTTCCTGATATTTTATAAAAAATTCCTAATTTTTTCATTTTGAAAATTCCTGATATTTTCCTGATTTTTCGACGACTCCTGGCACGGTAGGCAAAAAGCAGTTACACTTCTCCGCTGAGGAAATTCGCGTGAGATAAATTCCTGATAAAACGTCTGATTTTTTCCTGATCGGCCAAAATTCCTGATATTATCCGATTTTTCCTGATGCTAGACACCCTGGTGAGGAATTTTCTGATTTTCAGCTTTTCCAACTTAAATCCTAAAATTTTTGTTTGAGGTCATGTTCTCTTCTTTTAAACCAAACGATACATCGAACCACTATCGAACACGATCTATTATATAATCATAACAATAACGCGTAATGCATAACGTCTGAGGCGCAAATCGCGCTCCTTATTCTTGGATAAGAATATATAATCATCTTCTCCGCGTCCCATATTTCTTAATAAATATGTATAGAATGATCCCCGGGGGAAATTTTCTCGCGGCGAAATTTTTCAGGGATGACACACCTATACAGATTAGATCGATTCTGTGTGTCAAAGAATCGTGTTTTAGTGTTTAAATTGTTAAAATTAGCATGATAATTGAAGCTTTTCCCAATTTCGTATTGATTCTACCTTTAAGAATGAAAAAACGATACTGCTTACATGGTCCTTCACCGCGTTACTACGACCTAAGAGTACACCTTAAATCGACGGATAGAATCATACTGAGCACATCAAACTTTGCCTAAATTATTCTCATATTTTAATTTTTTTGTACAAAAGTGAACAACATTAGACTTGACAATTTGTGAACCATTGAAAAATTTACAGAAAAGTTCAAAGCGCTAGTATATGTCATTTCGTTCACTGTTAATAAAATAAAACATTATGAAACGTGGATTCCGGTTAGGCTAGTTTCGGTTAAAATCGAATAATTTATTCCTATAATTTCCAAAGACGTTAATTTTCTCTATACGTAACACCAATGCGAAGAATTTTCCAGTCCAAGTTGTTACGATCACCAATTGAGCATTCACTCTTCAACTTTTCTCTACATAAATCAAATGAATTTTGAAAATATTATGTACTTTGGCGACCTTGTGAGCCATGAACGATTATGGTCAGTTGCCGAAAGGAAAAGTCGAGGTTGCATAGTCTTTTTTGCCGACGCATAACGCTTTCATGAAAAGAAAAGAAAAGAAAATAATTTGGTCTCACAAAGCGTTAGTGTTCAAAAGCGGATCCAGCCATTTGGCGACACCGGAATTTCTCCATTTAAACTTATGTAAAATAATCGATTCTTGTCGGAGCACCTGACCCCTACAAGAATCGATAGATTTTCATAGATTTAAATGGAGAAAAAATAATGATGTCAATTTGCTGTATCCACGCTATGTTAAGGTCAAACGAACCTGATTTTTTTCGCGAATAGAAAGTCAAATTTAGAATCTTAAGCGCGTCTTGAAGTTATGGAATGGCTTCGACGCGCGTTGTTGTAAATCTAACTTACGTAATGTTTACAGAGGAACAAAATACAAGGACCTCCTTTCGACAAAATCCTTGCATGCTTGTGTTAGTGTGTTACTTATATTTTCTAAAAATAAAAAATAAAAAAATCCCCAATTTTTTGACCCATCTTTTTTTATTGCAGTTTGTCAATTGGAAAGGAAAGAATGCAGTTAGTCAGTCAGCGACAGAATACCTAGTGTTCCACAAGTTTGGACATGTAAGTTTTGTACTTTCATGCTTAATTCATTCATTGTACATGGCTGTATATTTGCGTTGCTCCCTTTAATGTTTTCTGTACCCATTCTGACGTGTATATCTCAACGCAAATGAAACATCTTTGAAGGTCTCACTTCCTAGTTTCAGCGGAAATAAACTTACTGTCGCTTATTTGCGTTCTTGGGATTTTTGACCATAGGCGGATCCAGACATTGCAAACGGGGGCGGGGGCGGAGGGGGGTTCTGGAGGGCTTCATCCAGAAAATTTTCGAGGTTTCAGAGTATCTGATTTGCAGTTTCAGTCAATTTCGTCACGAATAATTACCAAATCTGAGCATCCTTCCTTCTTCTTGGGAGGTAAGCAAAGTGGAAGGAAGAAAATCTTATACGGGACAACAATGTGAGAGGAGCCTCAGGAAATGTGAAGGCTAAACATTTTCTGCACTCCTGCTGATTATTGAAATTGATAGAAAAAGCGATCGATAGAGAGGACAAAAAGGAAACGGAGTGATGATATTGGTGGAAAGCGGGTGACTGCAATGCATAATTAAAGAAGGTCAGTACTAGAGTAACTGACGACAACCCATGAAAGCCCCTTTCGTTGGTCCATCATTTTCCCCTTAGTCTCTGACGGCCACCCGTTTAAACCAATTAGATCGCTCTATTTTCTCTATTTCTTCTTTGTCTATGACATTGTCTACAATTTCAAAAATAAGCCAGCAGGGCCGGATTTACCTACTTGCCGCCCATGGGCCGCCTGTATTTTGCCGCCCCCTTCTCATTCGTTTTGAAACATCAAAAAAAAACTATCAAGTGAACGTGCCGGAGGGGGAGGTGTGCGTAAGACGCGTTTACCTACTCGTGTTGGATACATTTTTTGCGAAAACCCTGTCAACACTACTAGCGAAATTTCACGGAACTTTGCGCGAAAGTTAAGTTCCGTGAACCTATCTCTGTGTGGACAAGGTCCTCCATTTATGAGAAATGAACCAAAAAATTATGAAAGAACAAACATAAATGTGGTTGAATAATTTTAACTTCCGCCGTTGCGCCGCGCTGATCGCACTATGTTTGGAGCAATGCGTGAAGTATTCCTGCGGTCTTGTAGGCGGTATGCGTTTCACGCCGACCGCTCCTGACCGCACTGTGTTTGGCGCAATGGATGAAGTATTCATGCAGTCTTGTAGGCGCTNTTAGGTGAACCTTCTTCAAGCTTACACTAATGCCTGTGCGAAATTTGGTGATTATCCGACCAAATTTAGAGACGTGAAGAGGTTTTGAGCAGCTAGATTGGGGTTTTGACACACTGTGCGCCGCGCTGATCACACTATGTTTGGAGCAATGCGTGAAGTATTCCTGCGGTCTTGTAGGCGGTATGCGTTTCACGCCGACCGCTCCTGACCGCACTGTGTTTGGCGCAATGGATGAAGTATTCATGCAGTCTTGTAGGCGCTCATATGTGTTACATGCCGACCGCCGCGCCGAGGGCTTGTCCTTTTCATCTCGAGTCCTCGTCGCCATTCCTCTCTGCGCTGAGCTCCAGACCAAATTGCGTGTTTAGTTCCTCTCTTAACTCGACTAATTAAAGATGCTGTTACTTATATCACCGAAAAACGACAAAATTAGAAATTACGATACTCTCAGGAAAGAGAGATTTTGTCCTCTTTTCTCATTGATAATTATTTTCTGAATCCGATTTTTTTTACCTACGTTTAGAAAAATTGTAAAATTGGCCGCCCTCTAAATTTGCGGCCATGGGCCGCGGCCCATGTGGCCACCCCCTTAATCCGGCCCTGTAAGCCGCTATCATCCATTAACTAGCTCTAAAATGAGTGCCGCTCCAACGGTACGGTATACGCCCCTTTAATTAGTCCATCAGTTTTCCCCTAGTCTATAGCGGCCAACCGTTTCAACCAATTAGATCGCTCTAGTTTCCCTTATTCTTCCTTGTCTATAGCTTTGTCTATCAATTTCAAAATATTTCTTCCATAAACTCGCTTTACTGTGCGCCGCTCTACGGTTGGGCCCTGGAAAAGCCTCCACAAATCGTCACCCTTCTAACGTAAGGGCGTATCTCTACTTCCACACAAGCCCCGGCAAGCATGGGATAATACGGAAAACAGGACTCAATTGGAAATTGAGATAGGCCCTTATGTTAGACCCACGAAATTACCCGCACATTCGACGGAATAAACCGATGATATACAGCCCGTCGTGGAGGGAGCAGGCCCAATTAGATCCTCCTTGGGGGCCCTTGATTTCAGCCGAGCGGTTGACCTTTTCCGGTGACGGACGCGAGGCGTCGCGGCCCGGCGCTTGTCGAATACTGATGGCCGTGAATGTCATCCTCGCGGCCGACGACTCCCGCCTTCGATTGGAATCGATACGATTAAATCGATTGATCCGCCATCCTGACTAATGGAAAAGAATCGATTATCAAGGTGTTCAACGAACGGCTTAGTAATCGATCCTATACCATCGCTTCAATTGGCAATACGTCGATAGTCGATTATTGTATTTTGATTTTAAACCGAATAGTCTGCTGTTTAAATCTATGGAAAACGGATCAATGGAGATGTTGCATGTGTGAGGAATTTGCGATTTGACTACTCATTCTTATGAAAAATTTCGCTAGAAACACGATGGTGCCACTGGTTTTCTCTGAAATCAACTGCCAAGCTTGAAAAAAGCTCTCAAGTTGAGGCCAAAATGGAGAGGATATCCTACGCAATCCTGAGAGTCCACCTCTACATCAAGACAAACTCTCTATGCAAAGATAGGGAGCAAATACATTGACAGGGCTGCCACTTTATTTGGGGACTACACAACTGAAAACACGGCGACCCTGCTAATGTATTTGCTCTCTATCTTTGCATGGAGAGTGTGTCTTGATGTAGAGGTGGACTCTCAGGGTTGGGTGGGATATCCATTTTGGCCTCAACTTGAGAGCTTTTTTTGAGCTTGGGAGTTAATTTCAGAGAAAACCAGTACCACCATCGTCTTTCTCGAGAACTTTTACATAAGAATCAGTAGTCAAATCGCAAATTCCTCACACCTGCAACATCTCCATTATCAAGGTGTTCGATAAATAGCTTAGTGATCGACCATCTACTATTGCTTCAATTGAGAATATATCGATATTCGATTATGGCGTTTTGATATTTTAAATCGATTAGTCAGCTGTTTAAACCTATGGAAAAAGATCGATTATTATCAGGGTGTTCGACGAACGGCCTAATAATCGATTCTCTAGTACCGCTTTAATTGGGAATACATCGATAGTCGATTGTTCACGCTTCGCGACTAATTTGAATGGAAATCCGTGGGAAGGACCGGGCTTAATGGCCAGATCCGCTCCCGATATAGGCGTCCAGGCTCGATCGATAATTGGGGCGCTAGGCGAGCGGGAGGCGTTCCTCAGTCTCATTGGCGTCAATAAGATTCCTTTAACGAGGCGACCATTGTATATGTTCCAGGTTTGCGTCGTCCGATAATATAACGACAGGCCCAGACAGAACCCTTGCTTGTTAAAAAGGGAGCAAGTCTGTTTGGATACCGTTGAGCAAACCAGTGACATCTATTGAGAATTTAAAAAAAACACCTATGTGCTATACTGCCGTGCTAAGGAAAAACGCCGTATGAACCTTCAGGCGTTGCCAAATTTCTTTTAGCAAATCACGAATTTTCGGGAAAAGTAAACATTTTTCTTCCAATTTTTTAGATAATTCTGTTTGCAATTTCACTTGGAGTTGCTGAAAATTCATAGCTTTCCTCAAGAATAAACATTTTATCGAAGGAAATTTGGCAACTTCTGAATGTTCATACGGCGTTTTCCCTAAGCACGGCAGTATAGTACAATATTTATTTAAAGAGGAGAAGGGTAAAAGAACATTAGTATGCTAGTTCAATGTGTCGAGATTGACTGAAGGGTGTTAATTGCAGCCTTTCCTGATACAGCCACCGGACGGAAAGTAGGCGGATGAAGATTGATGGGAAGACGGGGAATAAATTGTGTGGCAAAGGAGGAACTAGATCGAATGGTTCGCCGTTCTGCCGTGCTATAGAAAAACATCATATGAACTTTCGAGAACCACCAAATCTCCTCCGATAAAATGTTTCGTTTTTAGGGATGTTATGAATATTTTTTCTTGAAATTCTCAGATGATTTAGATCTGTTTGCGAGTAAAATTCTCTGAAAAACTCGAAGAAAAATATTCTCGAATTTTTCTGAAAATTCATACTTTATCATTGGATATTTTGCCACATCCAAAGGTTTATACGGCGTTCTTCCTAATCACGGCAATGATGAAGGCGTATTTCAAAACGTGCCTTCCGAGGCGAAACGAGGGGCGAATTTTATTTACACTTAATTCATACAGAGGCGTGGCGTGCTCTGCGATGTATCGATTCATCTGCTATTTAAACCTAGGAAAAGATTCTATAATCAGGGTATTCGCACCGAAAACCTTAATTATCGATTCTTTACCATAGCTTCTAATGGGGAAATATCGATAATCGACCGTTCACGCCTCGCCACTGAATCCATACTGATTATAATGGAGTTCTTGCATGCAGCGGGGATTTTAGATTTGATCATTCATTCCTCTGGGAACACGACAATATTACTGGGTTTTTTCTCTGTAAAATGCATTTTCACGTGCAGAATAAGCCCTTAAATTTGAAATCGTGATGAAAGAACACCGAAACACCCCTGCTTTTTTAAAACATGTCTCGTTCTGAAGCATTTTTTGGGCCTTAAAGTTTGTAGAGCGTTTCTTCAAGTCTGACAGTACCTACGATACATATATCGATGGCTGAAGTGCAAAACCACGTATCTTCGTTTGCGATGTTGCAGACTTCCTAACATACTTTAATTTTTCCTCGGGAAACTATAGTCAACGTAATTTTTTGAAAACTGCCTTGAATTTCCCTCTTTGTCAGCAAAATATTCCTTGTAAGTTTTAAGCTCTTGAGTTAGGCTGTTTCTCTTCGAAAAGATAAAATAAGAGCGGAAAGTTTAAAATGCCTAAACGGAGATACGTGATTTCGCACATTGCTTATGGATAAATCCATTTTGATTTTTGCGGTATCAGGAATTTAGGATCCCTTACCCCACGGACGACCACATGGACCACATTTTGCAGTAAGGAACCAAAATCTCCGGTTCATTTTATAGAAACAAAATATATGCTATTGGTTTCCCTTGTGAATTTTATTCACTCATTAGATAATATGCACAAAAAATTTCAATACGTCTTGGTTAGTTCCTATTTTTTTTATCGATTATATAGAGATCAGGGCCAGATTTAGGGGGTGTCCACATGGGCCGCGGCCCATGGCGGCAAATGTTGAAATTTTTTCAAATGTAGGTATAAAAAAAATAGGATTCAGAAAAAAAATTACAAACGAGAAAGGGAACGAAATCTCTCATTCCCTGAGAGTTAAAGTATAGCAATTTCTAATTTGTTCGTCTTTCGGTGATACAAAAGACAGAGCCTTCTATTAGTCTAGTTGAGAGAGAAACCAAATACGCAATTTGGCCTGGAGCGGCGCGGCGCAGAGAGCAATGATGACGAGGACTTGAGTTGGAAAGGAGAAGCCCTCGGCGCGCCGGTCAGCATGATACACGTATGAGCGCCTGCAAGACTCCATGAATACTTCACGCATTGCGTCAAACGTAGTGCGGTCAGGAGCGGTTGCCGTGAAACTCATAGTGCCTACAAGACTGCATGAATACTTCACGCATTGTGTCAAAAACAGTACGGTCGGCATGAAACGCATAGCGCCTTCAAGACTGAATGGATACTTCACGCATTGCGCCAAACACAATGCGGTTGGCGGAAATTAAAATTATTAAACCACAGTCATGTGTATTCTTTCATGATTATTTCGTTTATTATAAATGAAAGGCCTTGTCCACACAGAGATAGGGTTATGGAACTTAACTTTCTCGCAAAGTTCCGTGAACTTTTGATAGTGTTGACAGGGCATTCACAAAAAATGTGCCCAACACGAGTAAACGCGTCTTATGCAACCCTCCACCTTCGACACGTCCATTTCATGGTTTGTATCGATGTTTCAAAACGAATCAGGAGGGGGCGGCAAAATACAGGCGGCAAGTAGGTAAATCCGGCCCTGATAGAGATACTCATTTTTCGCCTGGAGCCATTGCCAAATGGAGAATGAAAGAAAAGTAAAGAGATCGGGCTCAGAGATGGATGTTAAAAGAGGAGAAGGTTGAGTGACCACTAATGGGATCCCGAAAAACTCTGTGGGAGAACATGACCCGTCTCTCGATGAGCGATACAAAAATTGACCTTTGCCGTCAAAGATTGCTTGTCAATGGCGCGCAGTTCATGAAGTAGGTCGCGTACTCTGGAGAACAAACGCAGCGAACAGAACAGACGCTCGGAGAGTTTTTCACGACTTGAAGGGCGGTGGAAATGAAACTTCGAGATTGGTTCCTGATGTGATCACGTACACCAAATGGGTAGTTATAGAGGGTTTTCGATGTGCTTTAGTTTTCTTCCGTGTTTGCCGAGTTTCGAATAAATTAAACTATGAACCATCCGCAAGGAACGTCCAACGGACGAACATTTCACGAATTTATACAGAAATCTTTGCAACTGTCGATGCCGGTGAAAAAGGGAGCAAGCTGTGAATTCGCAAACTGCGATTTTAATCATATCTATTTGTTTTAATAGCTTAAATTTATAAAGCGTGATACTGAAGCTATTAAGATAATTAACATTTTTAAAACAATTGTTAATTAAACTAATTATTTAGTTTAAAACGTTGATACTCATGCACGATATGAAAAACTACCCCAGTATCATATGATGTAAAATGTAAACAAAAAATTATTGTAAAGAACTCGTAAAAAATACTGGAATAGGCCTAAAACGAAATGCCTACCTAGATGTTGTATTTTTTACGAGAAAAATACGTACAAAATACGAAGTACCTCTTCTTATCTATTTGATCGGATATTTGTTGCGTGAAATTATGTCTTCTGACTTTCTACGACTTCTTTGTGCGCTTTTCTACGCATTTACACTTTCGATGTCGTAAAAAATACCAATCTTACAGTATACATTTATTCTTGAAATATTTTACAAGGCGTGCCGCTAGGGTACATTATAAAATCAATATTTTCAATTTTATCTTAATTTGATTAGGAACCAGCGGTCTGGCAACTGCGAAACAGCTTCTCGCTCCATTTCTCCGGAAACGTTCGCCTTTTAGCTCAGAACATCCTTTTTCGCTGATGAGCCCAGGCTGTCGTCGTATTTCCTCACTTAGCTTTTAAATCCCGTCTTCTCTGATTACCTATCTTTTAACTTCGAACAAATGTAGTCGATTTACCTTGAAAACCCACCGACTTGCACTGGGTAATGAATCTGCAGATCTTCGAGCTCTTTCACTTCGGCGGGAGGTTTGATTAAAACCAAATCGGCTAATCAAGTCTACAGGATTTAAACTCATAAATCCTCTTTTGTTTCTATGTGCATCTCCTCTGAACAGAACTTTCAGTAAAGTCATACGAGTGCAAAACTCCTGCAGGAGTGAATACACGTCGAACTAAATTTCACTATTATGCCCGATGTTTAATTTTTTTTAAAAATATACTCAATACTCATTCATCCCCAAACTTGAAAGCTCATATAAAGCTTCAGCTACGTTTTACAAGACAAAAAAGTCAACTTCCCATGCAGCAGAGAATTAGGATTAAGGTTGATGGGCAATATGGGCGCAGACAAAATAAATCATATCGATGAAACTTATAGTTAATCTAAATTTTCTCCTACTCGCGGTATGTCTACAAATCTTCTTTGCTGGAAAATAAATTTTTTGGGGGCAAAAAAATAGATTCTATCTCATGGTCCAATTTTTGGCTCTAAATTTTTTTAACACATTTTCGGCAATTAAATGCTTATTCAGTCTATTATGGCGATGTTACTGTGGTTGACAGCAATTTTGAAAATCGAATAGTTCTTTCAATGCAACTCAATGCTATCGAATTTCTACTTAGAGATTCTCTGCTACGTGAGATCCAGTTTCCCTGGTAAAAATTGGCAGTAGAATCTGTGTTCCAAAATACCATAGACCTACAGCCGGCTGTAAGATTTCCAATAGCTTCTATAGCCGGCTACACAATTTCTTGTAACCTTTTATAGCCGATGGCGATTAAGCAACATCGAGGCGATAAAGTGTATGCTAGGCGTTACCAATTACGGATGCTAGGACTCAGTGAGTTTTTGGAATACTGCTCTCTTTTTGGGCCGTAGTATCTTGCTTTATTTTGCGAGGAAAGCTCCGTACTTTTGATGGATGCCTGTCATTACTAATATATTAGAGCGCCTTCAGTTTCGTATGATACTGTGCAATGCCTCTGGTTTGAAACAGTTGCTTCAAGCGCCGTGGCAGACGGGCAGCCAGCTCGAAACGCGCATCGGCGCCTACAAACCTAACAGGGATACTTCACGCGTTGCGCAATGCGTGAAGTATCCCTGTTAGGTTTGTAGGTCGCCGCTCCGCTTTGTGTTAGGCTCTAATATTTAATCTGGCGGAGTCAGCGTTCTTCAACTCATGATTTTGAAATGTTTGCACGTCCTGTATGGATTATTCTCATTTTAATTGATGAAAAAAAATATGTATTAAAGGAAAATATAACGTGTGTTTTGTCAATATTAAGGTGGTTCCGTATCAAACTTAATGATTTCCAAAGCACACGAATTTCTACACAATTTCTTATAGCCTCTTATAATCGATGGCGAAAAAGCAACAGCTAGGCGATAAAGTGTAAAGCCCGGCGATAGGAACTATAGCCCGGCTGCATAATTTTTTATCGCTTCGTACAGCCCGGCCGTATGATTTTCTCCGCATTCTACGGCCAGCAATATGATTTTCTGTAGCCTTCTTTAGCCGGCTATAAGAATTCCAATGGTATTTTGAAACGCAGCTCTTATCGCCAATTTTTACCAGGGTTATACGAGTGCAATTGAAGCCTCTGGTGAAACGGGGAAGTAAATAATAGTCTTGTTTTTATTGGGCAAAGGGGGTTTAAAAATGTTATTGAATCTAGGTGCTGAAAAAAAGTTAAATATCAACGGTGAACTAATAGACCACGTATCTCGTTTGCGGTGTTTAAAAACCTCCGCTCCCATTTAATTTTATTTTTTAATCAGAATAAATTAATATCATTCCACGAAGTTTCCGCAGAATTTTCAAGAATTGGTGTTGAGAAGTATTTCATTTGAAACATGGAAATTGACAGGAATTCTGCAACGTCACAAACTGAGATGCATGGTTTGGTAGATTCACCGACGATATGCCATTTTGTGGTTGAAAATTTAGTTTCTGGGTTCAACTTTTCGCACAGTGTACCGTGACACGTGTTTTGTTTTTATCACCCATTTCTATTTTCTCCTCTTCAAGAATGTTAGTCACCTCTATCATTCACCGGAAGTTTCTATTATGCTCCTATCAATCTTAAACGAGTCTATGATCCATGTTTTGTACCATTATTTAAGGAGAACAGTGGCGAGGCATGAATGATCGAGCATCGATATTTCCCCATTTGAAGCTATGGTAAAGAATCGATCATTGAGGTGTTCGTTGCGAAAACCTTGTTTATCGATCCTTTCCCATAGTTTTAAACGGCAGATAAATCGATATATCGCAATGTACGCCACGCCAGAGAAAGGGAAAACTAATTAGATGTTGCACTTGTTCTACCTTGAAGTTTCTCTAACACTTGCATGTGTGTTTGGTTTCTGTTTTCTTTCCGCTTTCACACGTCTGACTGGTTCGTCAGATTATCGATCAGGTAAGACTCATTCACATCGATTCTCCCTTCTTGTAGAAAATTTCCTCGTTTACCCTGTTTTTATAAATGCGACAGCAGTTTATCATTAGTCACCTGAGCCGTAATGGCACAAGGAAACACCACATCTCAACCTTGGTATCGGCACAGGGAAAACATGGCAAAAAGTAATAAATACTTAAGATCGAGATGCGTATTTTTAGAATTTAGCCATACTGAGCCCAGTGTTTCCTTACGAATGAAGTGATATGCCTATTACACAAGAGGACCTCATTTTCGACATGATTCGACGTAATAAAACTAGAAGATCACGTACTGCACTTACAGCATATCGAAATTTTCGCCCATAACCTTGTTGACTAAATATTTTTGCAAATACGGTTTTCAGAGGCTTCCATTGAAAGAGCGAGAAAAAATAATGCGACTAAGTATTACGAGACGGAGATTAAGTGCTTTTAAAAAATTAAAGCATGATAAAAAATCTACGACCACGCCGCAAATCTAATTAATTTTTTCCTGTTTTCGCCACCATTGTACATCACTCACCATGAAACGAAAAAAACACGCTTTTGCATGACTTTCTGAGCTTCCTGCCTTAAATTACTTATTTAACTTCTATCCTCATTTGAGTTTGAGTCTCACATCAATATGTTTGGACATCGCTTGGCGAAGCAAAACTACTATATTTGCTTTGTATCAATTCATGAGAATTGTAACATTGTTGTGCCGAAACACTGTTTGGGTATACGCGCTTAACACTGAACATCAACTTGAAGTTTCTGGTAAATGTGGAAAATACATATACGACCGAAATAAGGATGAGTCAAAAATTGTAGTTCTTTGTTACTAAATGCAGTCCAACTCTCTTTCCTTGCAAATAGGACAGATGCTGTTTCAGCAGTATCCGTCACATCATTTAAATTAGGTTTTAGTCATATTTTGAAGGATCTCAATTTTAGTTCGAATACGGCAGTACGTAGCAATGGAAGTGTGTCTACAGAGGCGGAGAAAGAAGTGATCATTAAACCATCGTTTGCACACCTTCACAGGGGTCACGGTTGTGTGTCAACATATTCGGAGGGCCATTTTGGAGGATCCGTTAATAGATGTGAAAACAATGAAACATGATACGATGAATGAAATCGATTTCTATGATTAGAACCTGTGTATCCAACCTTCTGTAAGGGCACGGAGCCCCTTTTTTAGGGGTCATGTCTACCTATTTCTGAGAGACATGTAGGTAAATATTATCACGCGCGAGAAACGGGAGGCGAGAATCTTGATTTGCGATGTTACCAACTTCCTGTCACATTCAAGGGCGCACTAAAGGGGGGGGGGAGGGCTGCCCCCCCTAGAATTGAAAATAGTATCATCTACCCCCCCCCCCCCCCAGAAATTCTGGACGGTGGGAAAAGATCTTCGTCGAGGATGATTATCTCTCTTAATGTAGAGTCTAAATTGAAAACACCGTGTTCACTGTTCATTCACCAAGTATTTTCTAAAATGTTGATCATGGAGGCCTCAAATGCGTCCAAATAGAATTAAAATTTCAAAAATTTTCCGGGGGAGGCTCGAAGGAAGCATTTTGGGCCACTTCCATCGACTTCGATGTTTTAAGTTTGAAAAATTGAGTGAAAATTCAAGTTTCCCTTCAAAAAATGCCAACAGATAGGTATCAAGTTTCATAGCATTTTAGGTCGCATCCACCATCTAGGATTTTAGACTTTAGAAAACTTGAGTTGAGATTCAAGTTTTCGGTCAAGTAGGTGATGCCCTCTAGAACCAAGTTTCACAAAAATAGACCGAATAGGAGCCGCATACTATAGGATCAGTTCTACACAATGGTGAACGATACAAGTCAATTCACGTGCGTTGATGCGCCTTCAATTACGTTTGATACTGTGCAATACTTCTGAGGTGGAATAGTTGCTCGAAGCGCCTGACGCGTGCGCAGTTACACATTTCTTCATCGTCGATAGTGGGATAAAAACATTTAAGTATGAGTTCACCTCAATGTGCGACGTTGCAAATGTTTCAATGCTTATTTTATGCCGATTAACCAATATGAACACTTTTAAAGTTGCCGTGACTTTTCTGAGATATGACGAAAAATATTATTTTAATGTTTCATTCGAGGCTATTTGTATGCTCATTGGCGGATCCACCAAAAAATGTGTTAATTTTTTTCTCCCATAGGTAGCAGAATATTCCGTGCCTACCTTCAAGCTGTAAAGTAGACTTGCTCCTCTTCGAAAAAATTTCGAGCGGGAATTTTGAAACACCGCACTGGAGATACGCGGTTTCGCATTTTGGACATCGACTTTAGGATACGAGGCTCTCTTTGAGAAATGAACAGCGAGTGGCAAAAACACTACACTAGTAGCAATGACCTTTAAAAACATTTTTCAAAAACTCTTAAAAAAAAAACAGTTAAAATGTTCGTATTAGGAAACCCTTTTTGGCTATTTTTTAAGTAAAAATTTACGATAAGTAAAAAAGGGAAAAAGGGTTACAAAAACTCTTGAAATATCACTGTACTTTTTTAACATTTTTTCCAAACAATTTTAGTGTTGAAAAACTACAGTTGGTAATTTAAGAGTTTTTTTTTTTTTTTTTTTTTAACACTTTTCTACTTAATTTTACTGCTCGTAAATTTTACTTAAAAAATGGCCAAAAGGGGTTTCCTGATACGAACATTTTAACAGTTTTTTTTGAGGAGTTGTCTTTTAGAAATTTCAGAGTTTCTTTGAAAGTTCTTTTTAACGGTCGTTGCTACTAAGTAGGGTATACCTATCCATGCACCGAAAATTTTCGATTGATGAATTTAGTTTTTCTCGCATCCAGGAATTTTTACTTTTGCCGAGTTGGGCTCTTTTCGAAACGAATGATTCTACTGAGTTACCTATTTTTATTACCATTGTGTTCATCCAATCCAATCGTCACGGTTTCGACGCACTCTGATAGAAAAACTTGTTTTTCTGTGTAGCAACTGATAAACGAGGCAAACTCTGACAAGGATCAGATCATAGGCGAGTTCATCAAGAGGCTCCAGGGCAGTATCAACTCCAAGAACATCCGGCCATACGTTGCAGCCTTCCTCAATAGGCCTCATCTACCCCTGAAGGAATACAAACAGGACATCCTCCTCATTACTGGGGTTCTCGGTTCTTACGCCAATGTTGTTGAGAAATTGCACAGAGAACTGGACAAAAACAAGGCCACGCTCTTGAAAATTGAGCGAGCTGGAGACATCTTATCTGAAGCGGTAAGCTAGTCCATTGTCGAGTATACTTAGAAGCTTCTTGTAAGTAGGTGCATATAGTAGTGGGAGAGTCAAATCAGCCCTGATAGCACTTACCTACTCCCAAGTAGCAAAATAGAATTTTTTTCTAGAAAAAAAATATTAAGAAAATTTCTAGAAAAAACAAAGAAAATAAGCGTTATCCAGAAAATAGAAAGAAAAAACATTGCGAGTCAAAAGTCTGACCAAAGAAAATAGATCTATTTCATAGGTCTACTTTCTGTCAACTTCCCATTTGGAAAAAAGATAGAAAATTTATTGGAAGTAGAATTATTTTCTAGCCAATTTCTTAATGTTTTCTATTAAGAAAATTCAAGGAAAAAATGTATTTTCTTTCTATTTTCTTGTGTCTATTTTCTAGATCTACTTTATACCTGCTATTTTCTTTCAAGAAAATTGTTCTATCTGGAAAGTAGACGTTTTCTTGATGAGCGCCACCTATAAAGTAGATGGCATGCTACTTGAGCTGTTAATTTTTTTTTCAAAAAAAAAAAAAGGTAATAGGTAAAATTTAAGAGAAAAACTCTGCAAACCTATCAAAATTTCAAAATTATAGGAAAACTTTTGTTCTAATTTTACGTAAAAATGTTACACCGCACTCTTAAGCATAGGTAGGTCTTTGTCCATCACTTTAGTTTCTCCACCTACATTTCAACAAAAAATTTTAAGTACAACTATAGTTTTTCAGGTTGTTTATTTTGCATTTTATTTTGTGGTTAGCTTCATGCACTATGAGCGATTTTGAGAATCCAACACAATTTTGATAAAAATACCTTAACTTTTTTTAACATTTTCACCGGAATGCTAGGTGCTTAAAAATAACAAAAAAGGTTTCCAAACTCATACCCACATTCTTAAAGACACTTGATGTTTTTGAAAATTCTATATAAGTTTAACAGTCAGGGCTATTTCTTTTCACCTGATTTGAAATTTAAGTACATGACTGCGTGGTCAGTCTCATTTTCATGGCAAAGTTATCCACAGGACTGTCGTGAGGGTGAGTTGTTGGGAAAAATTAAATAGTTGAAGAAGGTAGGTATAGAAAAACGAAAAGAAATTGAAATTTAAAAGACCCTAGGAGCCGTTGAGAAAAAATTTGAAATTATAGGAATCTATCAAAAATTACAGAAAGAAAGGAGATGGGAAAATGCCGGCATCTGCTGGCAGTGAGTGTCCATTTATTTGTCCCGCAAGGCGGGTGTAGTTATGCTAAGTATATATATAAAGTCGCTTTACAACGCACTTCGGCGTTCTACGACACCCAAACGCCACATATGCCTGTCTTCCCAGAGGTTATCGGGCAACTGACACCGCAACATCTCTTCGTCAACGCCCTGCCGCCAACCCTTTACGGGACGCCCCCGTCGCCTCTTCCCAGGTGGTACCCAATCCAAAACTTGTTTGGGCAACCTCTCCTCCGACAGTTATGCTAAGTGAAATTTTAAAAAAATCCAGGAGATCATCTCAAGAGTGATACTTCAAATTTTCTGCCGAAATTTTAATTTTATTAGAGTAAATTAATCAATACTTTTGCCTAAAATTTGCCATTGATCTGTACCGTATCATGTAGTATCGTATCTAAATCTAATTGTGTTCATTAATTCCTTCCAGCCTGCTAAGCTAGCACAAAGCATTTTATTGTTCTGCAAAGGACAAGGATTACTTACCTCAGTTGCACTACCAGGTATTGAGCGACAGCGAACTTTCTCAGGCAGCAGCACAGACAGCGACAAACCAGGCCGGAGGCTCTCACGGGGCATGAGCATGGATGACTACGACAGACCAAACATCAGGCGGCTGTCCATCTCCGCAGTCCATGAGACAATTCCTCCACCAATTACAAAATAATTCTCTCATTGTTACAGCCCAAGTTCTTCATAAAGCTGGAATGAAATCCAGCCTTCTTGCTGTCCAAGTGCTCACTTGCTGAAAAATGCATTGTACAGTGATGTCCACTTTCAGCGAAATCCAGCAGAGTAGTTACCAATAATTTATTGGTAAACCTAGATCTGATAATGTATTCCATCGAAAAAAATATTACCAGAAAATGAAAAAACTTCAGTTCACTGCTTTTATTCAGCTGAATAAAATGAGCTCCTGTCTTGGATATACAGCAGGAGTAGTTACAATGTGTTCATTTAAGTTTGATGGAAAAAGAACGGAAAAACATCTTAAAAGGAAAGCATTTAAGAGTCGAGATGCAGAAAGCTGATCCACTCTTGAAAAGTTCTGTAGAGTTCTCCAAAAAGAAAAAAAAAAAAAAAAAAAGAAATCGTTCAGGAGGAAAAGCGAGAGGGGACTAGCCAGGGGCTTGAAGTGACATGTTTTATCGTTTCAAAGATTACAGTATGGTGCTTTAAGGTATCAAAATTCCAAAATATTCCCAGGTGATAAAATTGACTTTGGCGCCAGAAAGCTTGGAAAAAGGGTCCATGATAGGAACAATAAAAAGTTTACATCTAGTTCCTCATTAAATGTAAGTTCAGAATTGAAGCGATGAAAAGTTGAGTCCAAAGTGGAAAAGATGATTTAGGCCATACAAAAATTTTTAGGGCAGGTTTCTGAGATCTAAATGGACCGCGTTAAACAGAAAGGAATCAAGCCACATCAGCTATCGCCAAATTTAATTGAGCAATTTAATTTTTTACACGAAAACGATTGTGCGGACTTTCGTGCGAATTTTAGTGGATTTTCTCCATAGTAGGAAGCAAATTCCTTAAAATTTCCAGAGGAATCCACACAAACGGTCTCTGGTAAAAAAAATATATTGCCCTGTTAAATTTGGCAATAGCTGATGTGGCTTGGTTCCTTTCTGTTAAGCGCGGTCCAAATGGAAATGCGCTGATCAGTGGGCTTCATTGTACTCTGCACATAGCTCTTGTGTTCACAGCAAAACTCCCCTTATCAACAGGCATTTCACAAAATAATACCTACCTCACCATAATAACAATTATTTCCCTCATAATATATTGATCTTATTAAAACGAATGACAGATTTTCATGCAGTATCTTTATTGAGTTCTATTCTGGGCAAGAGATCTGTTGCTTTATTCAAATTAGTGCTAAAATAAAGGAGAAAGAAATGCCGAACTTTTAGCGAGAAAATAGAGGTTTTGCTAGATTCACCACTTGAAAGGGTGAGAGAAATCTCAACATGATGGGATGCATCCGAATTAAAATTGCAAATTTTCTGATGGAACCAGCAAGAATGAAATCGTTAAGATACTTATTGTCAGTCCTGAGAAACTGATATTCTTGTCACAGATCTGAAGTACCTGATACATTTTTCCGTTTTTAAGTTGGTGAGAATTTTTATGAAAAAATTCTGAGGAAGATACATACTTACTAGAAGAAAGAAAGCATTCACTGGACGGCTTTAGGTTTGGATTTAAAATTTCTACACAGATAAGAGTTTTGAAAAAAAAAAAAAATTCTAAAGGGTGTGTAGTTTTTCAAAAGGCACCGCACAGATTTAAATTTTCTTGAATTAATGCCTACTAATGATTGGCTCGTTTAGTGTTGAGTTCTTCTTCTTCTTTTTTTTTAGGCGTAAGTACCTAATGAACTGAATTCTTAAACTCAAAGAAATATTTAATTACTAAAAAATAAATATCAAAATTTTCAAGTCTTTTAAGAACAAATTTTGTAAAACACATAAAAGAGCAGTTAAATTTTTTTCTAAAGTCCGCAAAAACCTTACTAAACTCCAACACTTTCATCTGATTAATTTTTGGATAATTTTAAAATATAACATTGCAACGAATATTTCATTTTTTATAAACCGTTTATGTAGTGTTTAATCTTTTTCCTCAATAAGAATATCTATAACTCTCATAATTAATTTGCTTTGATTTTAAATGTAGGAAAACGAAATTACAGCTTTATCGGTTACTAGAGCCAACTAAGAACCTATATAGTACTATATTAAAAGTCCGCTAGAAAAAGAAAACAATTTGAAATTTGTTGTGCCCTATCTTAAATTTTTTGCTTGCTTAAAACCCTTCTGTCTGCCTAAAAGATACTCTAAGCCTCATATGAAAATTGGCAAAATTTTAGAATATGATGTGTGCTTGAATACATATTTAGGTGTCTATGACAAATATTAGAACTTTTTCATGTACTAGTTTAATATAATACTTGCAAAAACAAACTGAACAGCATCATTCCACTTCGAAAACGGATTGCTGCTTTTCCACCAGAACTAATGTCAGAAAAAGGGATAAAATCTACCATAAAATTTTTGTCACTTGCTAAATCACTAAATCAGTATAGCAGTTCAACGCAAACTTCAATTATTTGTTCGAGAGTTTTTCTGTGAAGACTCATTGGTGTATTTTAAGTTGTTTGTTTTTTCCTATTAAATAAGAAACTATTAATTGTATTGTTGCTGAATTTCTATACTGAGATGAGTTCAGGGATTGTATCTAATTTTAAGGTTCAAACTCACTTTCATTCATGATAAAATTTTGAGATTCACTTGGATTATTCTGATGATCTTGAATTCATGGGAAAGAGAGACTGGCACTCAGAAAGTGACGTCAGTGCTAAATACTCTTGTTCCAGTATTTCCTCCCTATGGATTCCAACTTATTCCAAGTAAAATCAAAAGAAGTCACACATCAAAATGAGTTAAAAGTAACTAAATAATACCTGGATTCACCTTGGATAAATATTTTTATGTATGTTTTCACAAAAAAAAGCTATTAAAGCTGTGTGTAAATTATAAAATATGTCTTCAATGCTTGATGCACGTATAAATAGCATGTACAAACATGTATATAAATAGCCACTGTTGATATGTTTGTTTACTTATTTGGAATTGTTTTCTTGAGAATTTTGAGGAAAAATAAATATTTTTGCTATAGCATTGTTACATGCTGTTGTTTTGACCTTTGATCCTTTTCCCTATGGACAATCAATGATATTAGAAGTCTGTTGATTGGTTGATAACTCAACGATCTTACAGGAAAAGTAAAAAGAAAACAAGAGTTAACTTAAATTGATTCATTTTTTTGTATTTTATTTTCTTCAAAAATAAATATTAAGCAAATGTTGCAAATAATCCATCATAAATTTTTTAACATTCAAACGGTTCAAAACAAATGAGAAATTACAGAGGACATTAAAGACATTCTGCAAACATTTACTCAAACATTATGAAGATAATGATGTCTTTTCCTTTAGAAACACCTCTAATCAAGAAGAGACGCGATTACATACATTTAATGTCTTTTGGACGTTTATTTGAAACCCACATTCATTCATTCTGCAAATATCGTCAGATATGGCTTTTCTCAGGGACTTCTATGTTCTGCGAGACATTTTAAAACATTTGAGTAAGAAAGCCCATGGTCTCCATGTTCCTTCGGTTTGATGAACTTCAGTAGAACTGTTCCATTTTTTATCGAATATTTGAAAGTGAGAATACATTGAAGTTTCTTTTTGTTTTCTTCTACAGTGTAGAATGCAGTGCAACATCTTAAAATCTCTAGCTTTGCCCTTTGAGTCGATATTCTTAATAGTAACACAGGAAAATATTACACATTGAATAACATTAATTTTATCGTTTATCGCTGATTATGAAACATTTATCGCTGACACTGCTCACAAAAAATTGAAATGTGCTTCAGTAACAGGGGAATCAGTTTCTCACAGCAAATAGGGATATTCAAGCTGACATAAAGAAAAAATTCAATGTAAATGGGGGCTCTACTTGTACTTGTGGACACACATCTAACGCACGTTGGTCCCTCTTTGTTGTGTTGGGTTTTCAATTTGATAAGAAGATTCGTCTTCAGAATTATGCTGTTTTACCGACTTAAATGTGATTGAATTTGCTTTTTGCAACTTAAATTACCGATTAAAGTTTTGTCATTGCTAACATTTTTTTGACTACGAGTAAAAAATGACAAAAACTCATTTTTACGCAACTTTGGTGAAGGCTCTTTCACAGAAATGTTATACAGAATCTGAGCACCTGATTTTTTAACCATGTAGACTTTTAACATTCAATTATTTACACATTAAAAACACAAGACGTTTTTCAAGCTCAGACCTAAATTCGCCACTGGAAATGTCATGTTTTTATCCCAAGAGACATAAATTTTCACAGATTCACTAAGGAAAAAAAAAATTTAAAAAAAGCGTGCGAAAAAGAGGCAATGGAAATCACTTGCAGAACACTTAAATAAGAAAACAGAAAATTTCATTACCCATTTAATAAGAGGAAGATGTGTTACGATCGAGTTATCTTCTATTTTAAGCAAACAGGACTACAGAACTGCTGACTTCCTTCATCCTCTTTTCTTCTCTTTCAATCTTGATGAAATTGTTACGCAGTGACCCTGTTAACTGCTCCTAATGCCTCTTGTAATGCTTCAAAATGAATTTCAAGAGCGTTTAAAATTCATGCCAATTATTCACAGTGAACTAAGCCACCAGAGGCTAGTTACGAGACCATAGAACCAAATCTGAGAATACCAGCAACATCAGAACGTGTGATACATTCTAAATTCTATCTGGAGCTATCAAACGGAGAAAAAATTCACGAGAGGCCACAACATTGTGAGACATCAATAATTTAACATTACTTGCTTCTAGTTGAATTTCGTGACTTTCAAGAAACATCAAACAACTTTCCTGACAAGGATTTTTTGTAATATGTCTTTATTTATTTATTTTAAACGAAAAATTTAGAGAAAATTATTCAAAGTTGAAGGAAGAGTGACATAAATTTTTTAAGGCATGTTCCCAAATTACGTAATTTTAATTAGATCATACTGACTCAGTTCATTAAGCTATTCAGGTATGCCAAATTTTGAGTAAAAATGTCTTCAACACGACTTAGAAATAGGATTTGACAAGTTTACCTCGACTAATGTTGTTATGAAATGAGAGAGACTTGCTGGTCTAATGCATAGCAAGCTTTCAAAAACTGAGACAGTTTCCATTAAATGAAACAAAGGATATGATGTTTCATAACAAACTTTTCATTTAAGTTCCTCTAAATTTTTAACTCTTCCAAAATTGGGAGATTTAATAAAAATCTGTCTTTGATGATCTAAGAAAGAAAATGGTGAAGTGATGAGGTAAGTGACATTATAATGACTTGAATTGCTTGGCCCAAAATTTTCATACACAGATTACAGCACCGAACCTTCATTTGAAATCTTGGTAAGAGTATTATGGTGATCTTGGGGGACTTTAAACCGAGTGAGCTTAACTGTATTTCACACAGCCTTATTTCCTCTTATGGTTTATTTTTTGACTGAAAACAAAGCACAGCATTATGCCTCAAAACTTTCCGTGAAATTCTTCTGAATTAATAAGCATAGATATACTCCTGAAAGTTCAAGAAAGAGTGTAGTTTTGCTTCCAGTTAAAAACATAAAATAACTAAGAGGAAATCAGGCAGTTTATGATGCGTTAGGCAGTACAGACATTGACTATACATTAGGTTTAAATAGAACTCAGGATGAGGCACTGAAGCCGAAATTGTTACTGGTAATGCCCGGACGATAATTAATCGTCGAAAAATTGATCTCATTAGATACTTTAAAAAAAGAGAGAATATACATATATAAATTATACACAAATGCAAAAAACACTAATTATAATTCCTTTCTTGTATCTACACATTAAAATCAATTAAAACATTTGTTGTCTGGATTCTCTATCAGCGAGTTTAAAACTTACATATGAAATAAAAAAAGCGATGAAAAAATAAATAATTAAATGATTAAAAATGAATGAGTTTTCCGAGGGAGAGGAAAATATAAATGTTACACGACATGAATTGAGAGACTGCGTAGCATTGAAGCGACCAGCATCTGGTAATTGCAGAACCTTTCCTCTTCAAGAACAGTAAAAAGCGTACATGCACAAGTAGCTGCTGCAGTCTACGGGCTTCAGGCTTGACCGTAACAAGGGCAGTGATTCTCATAGCACGGTCGAGTATTTTCAAAGGCAATGGCTGAAACAATAATAGAGAAATTTATTAATTTCATGAACAGTTCAAAAAGACCAAAAAAAAACAGCTATCTTTTTTTAACTCTTAAGATAAGATCAATCACAGTAATGTGCAGTGAAATCTCCATATGAGGACCTTCAATTTCACAAATTTTTCGAGAGATTTTCGACAGCCCTTTCCAAATCCAAAAACATGCTGAAAAAAGAGTTTGGGAGCTGACGATCATAAAACGAACACTCATTACACCAAGAAAAATTGTTTGTTGTTTCAAAATATTTCCAATTGAAGGAGCACTCATAAATTTTGTGACGCAATTTATTGGCATTTTTTTACCCTCCCCCCCTTGTAACGCTTTTGTAATGTACGTTTTATCCTTTAAAACGTAAGAAAAAATGAAATAACTATCTCCTCGACCCCATTCCCCTAGAGCATTTTGTAATTTATGAACAGCCCCTGGAAGACAACCGTCCAGATTTTCTTGGGCTTTCTACAGTGCTCCACAACTGAGTGGATATTTACCTCATAGTTAACTGCCTAAGCTTCCGTTGGTTTTTCTTTCTTCTTTTCCTTCTTCTTCTTGAGGAACGAAGGTGTCCTTAGGCCTTTCTTCTTCTTCTTTTCTTTTTTGTGAGGTTCTTCCAAAGACACGCCCTATAAAACACATATCAGGCAGGAATATTAATATTAATTGCTATTTACATGATGCATAAGTACACAATGATTTCACAACCAAAATGGCTATGTATGTGTATAATTTTTAAACTCCTAAGTAAGTCAATGAGAAAAGTTATATTCCATTCTTGAATAATTCTTAACTTGAAATAACCTCATAGTTGATAGGACGGGATGTTGGAGTTTTTTAGCCAACGTGCGTTACCGCCAGCGACCGCTTGCCCAAGTCTTAGACTGGTTTTCACGACTTCTCTGAGCTTGGTAGCAAGAAATTCAGGAGGCTACGCTGCACTGAGGATTGGCCCAACAAGGCCGAATGCCTTGCCTTCCTGAATGGTTGTTACTAGTGTTGCACCAGACAGCGTATCTTATGAGGGCAAATTGTGCTTGTGGGTGAGCTTTATTCCTCTGTATAGAGATATCAGCTTTAAGCTGAATTTCTAACGCGTGTTGGTTAAAAAATCCAACATCCTGTCTTACGACCCGTGCATACACTGCGATTAGTTTTTTGTTTATAGTTGATAGTTGAACATTTAAATTACAAAACAATCTGATACGCGGGTTTCATTGTGCATTACTTTCTCACTGGATGAGAGCAAGCTTGCTTTTGATGACGTCTTTCAATACACATCTGTGGACTTATTCAGATCGATTCTCCATGGTAAGATACCACCATGATAAATTAATACATTACTGAATATGTTCTTTTGAACGGATTTCATTCTTGATGGGGGTATTGTGCTTTGTATCTTACCTCTTTACTGCTTTGAGAGAAAGTGCTCTGGTGTGCATCTGAATGGTCACCGTTATAGGTATTCTCACCTGCAAAATATACAAAATATCCACTTATAAAATTTTTATACCTTCTAGGTGACACATCACAAGAACAGGAAAAGATCAACTTAATGAGTAAAAGCAGACTTGGATTCACAGGACAGTGGTGATCAAAAAGTCGTATCAAGAAATATTAAGATCCGTTAGTAGTAGTAGGAGTAGGCGGATAAAATCACGGTAGAGTAAAATGGAAAATGAGACATTAGTTTTACTCCAGCATGTATCAAACTCACATAATGCCAGCAAAAATTTGTAAATATTCTCTATATTTTAATACCTCACAAGTTAGTCCTCTGTAATTTGTAGTAATGAATGATATAACTACTGTTCAATTTTTTGTATCATATTTTTCAAAGTCACAATGAGGAGGAATTTTCTTACTGATTTCAAAATTCCATACGAAGGTGCAAAAAATCTTCGACCATGCAAGACGTAGATCGCATTTGATCTGATGCTTAAAAGGGAGGCCGTAAAATTGGGTTTTGAAAAAGAGAAAGTCCGCTGGTTTCAGCATGAAAATGGCATGTGTTTCCCAAAAATGCTGCCTTTCGTGAGAAAAGGGAAGAATAAAACTAGAAAAGGGTTATCAATCAATAAGGAAATCTCCTTGAGGAAAAGGGGTTTTCAAAACAGGAAGGTCAGGAACTTTGTGCATTTTTAATTCATTATTACAAAACTTTCTATGCTACTTCAATGAGCAAGTCATCCGGAATTTAGGTAAAAAAGCAAGAGCAAAGAGATACTTACACCGTGTTTACACATTAGTCAGTGCTACGAAAATGCATGCCAACACCATTCAATATGCGTTTGAGTGAACAAGAGACAATCAAACCAAATGCAAGGTCTTGCGAGTAAAAAATCTATTTACAATAGCACTTCAATGGAAAACAAAAATGAAAACCAACAAAAAAAAGAAAAAAGGATGAGCGGTAGCAAATGAGATTAAGAAGGGGCAGCCTCCAGGCGAGTCCATCCCATCACTAACTCTCAGAATTTTTATGTTTATGCTAGAATACCTATAACATCGTGTGCTTTTCCATAGTAAGTTTGACGTTCAAGCGCTGAAGGATAAGTATGAAAGCGTAATTGAAGCTGTGAAAGCATTGTAATTAGTGTCAGCAAGGTTTCATTTTCTGAACTTGCATGACCGATTGGACATCAAAATATCACCGTAACAATTTCTTAGTGAATAAATTGAGAAATTTTGTTTCTACACAAAAATGGTATCAGCAATTTTTCCACTCTATATTACCCACACTAAATTGTAAAATGCTGATTTGTGTTCAATAAAAATCCAATATTGTTACCCTGAGAAACTTTGACTCAAAATTTCAGGATTGAAAATGTAATTCTCTACCTTTTTGACAGCATATTTCACTTTTTTCTCCCCTGCCTCCTAAATCACAGCTCAACACAGGCCCCAAAAAGCGAAACATTTCTGAGTTAATTATCTGTTATCAGACAAGACAATACTCAAATATTGAAAATAATACACAAAGCTTACAAAGGTTTGCTCTTGCTCCTCCCAAATCAAAATAAAACTTTCATTTTTACGAAGCAACTCGTCTGTTTTGGAGTAGCCTGATGTATGTTTCCAAAAGTTGGGTCTCTTTCTTTTTCTTGAAGGACTTTTAGTTGATCAGTGGTTAATAAAGCATATTTGAAGAATTTTTTTAATCTTAAAGCTGCGCTATAAGAGAGTCGCACGCTGACGTTCCCAAAAGTTGAAGCATCTTCATTTGTTTCACAAAAAGCTAGATCAAGAAAAGATGTGCGCCTGGACTTCATTTACCAAACTTGATCAACTTTTAGGACCCAAAGAGAGGAGCGATTTCGAACTCTTGGCAACACCAATGATCTTAGTATGATAAGCAGAAGTGAGTAGTTAGGATAACCTAAAAATTATGAACAAGCGCTAAAGGCAATGATGTTTCTTTTAACACCACAGGATAAAGAAGTAAGATAAAAAACACGATGAATTCAAACACCACATACACTTTACTTAAAAAGAGATAAAAACATCTTCTATAGATGTGAGATTCCTGAGGAATCAAACGTCATATATCTGAAAAAGAATAACTATTTTTTGTCTGGTTTTTAAAAAGAATATGGTACAATTTTTGACACAACAAAAAATTATAGTGCTACACTGACTGCAACACTAATTCATTTTTATCACAGGAAAAAAGAGAGACATATGTACAACTAAAAATTTGACAGTAAATAAAAAAGTTGCTCCTTCCAACACATTAGACGTAAAAAAAAGGTGAGTCTGACCTTGCAGAACTTTTGGTCTGTCATTTACTGCAGGTGCAAATGGAACGACAGGGTCAAAGAGAAAGGATAAAATAGCATTTACAAATAAAAATGACAAGAAAACTTAAGAAAAAAATAAAGAAAACTGATGGAAACACCAGGGTTACATGGTTACAGGTTATGGTAAAAAATAAGAAAAAAAAACTGTACAACAACCAAGATGAGTTTTAAATTGAACAAAGAGAGGGGTGCTGTGACTCAATCTCTAGCTACAAAACTTATTTCAAAGAGGTGAGCTCTACTGGACGTATTTGTGCTGAAGGAACTAAGTTCGAATAAATTAAATCAAGAAGAACTGTGTAGCATTTCATTTAATTCATCTACACATAGTTACACTGAACATAAATACGACCATTAGTTAAGATTGCAAAAAGAACTGGGAAGGATTGACAGGGGGAAAAAATCCCATGGGTACAGATTAAAGCCCTTTTAAGAAGGTATTCACAGGACACACCATGTTCGTGTTCGTAATGAGTGAGAAAAAAGTAGAGGAATCAGTATGAGTGAAAATTTTTAAGCAGGGAAAGTCAAAGATTTGATCTTCAGGCTCATGTCTACACAAAAGATTCCAGTACTAAGGAATTTGAAGATGAGAGGAGCAGCTCAATGTAAATTAAAATATCCGACAAAGATCACAGACGTAGGATGAAAATCTCAAATAAAAATTATTTTAGCATTCAGTAGATTTATTTACAGAATAAATGGCAAACTCTAAAATGTATCCCATTTAATGATTCTTTTTGACTGAGGATTCTCAGTTCAGTTGTAAGAAACTTGGAGACAGGGAAGAAAACGGCTTTCTTTGAAAAATTAAGCCATATAAATTAATAATCTTAAGAACTAAAGGACTCATTGCTTATAAATATTCAGTCAGGCTATGATTGATGTATTATTCCATTCTCTTAATAAGTTTTTTCGTTTGCTTTTCATAAAAGCAAACCGAAAGAGTAGATAGAATTCAATCAGGGGTTTTGAGCACTCAACTTTTCCATAGGTTCAACAACAGATGATAGGACACAATAGTTTTCAAGCTCCCTGTACTCTTCCAAAGAACTCGACAGATTAAGCAACTCAGAATCACGATATCTTTGCCTCGAAGATTCAGAACTTGCACAGGTTTGCTCTGTAAAGTATTTTTCAGATGTTTTCTTGGAATCGAAAGACGGTGAACAGGTGACAGTAATATTTTTGGGAGATGCAGGAGTGTAAGGTGGAGGTGATATCACAGCCTGTCGCTCGACACAGTTCTTAAGAGACATATCAGCTAGCCTTGGATCAGAAATTTCAGTATGATACGTATCTGAGTTGACGAGTGTCAGATCGTTCTCATTTTCCGCGTCTGAAGTTGGTGCTGTATCCCAAGCTTCAGAACAATTGCTACTAGAGGCTGCTTCTAAACTTACATAAGAGTCCACATCATCTTTCAGGTCTTCGTAGAAGCTGCATTCGTTAGTCTCTCCTTCATCTGCAAAACTTGCACCTCCGTGTAATCGTCCTTTAGTCTTGCTACAATCTGAGCTTCCAAGTTTGCTGTCTGATTTCGGTTGGGTTTTTTGTCCAAATTTTTCGCAGATTTTTTTCGCCACTTTACCCAAAAGACTTTTGTTTGGTTTCGAGAATTGGAAGGAAAGAGTGTATTCCGTTTCAGATGCACACCCAAGTGAGTTAGATGAGTCTTCTTGGACCACTAAACTTCTATCTTCTCTAGGCATGTCTGTGATTGTTGGACAGCCTTCTTTCTTTATGGGAGCCTCTCGTACTGTGTGATCCCTTCCTTTCGGCCTCACACTTCCCAAAGCACATATTAGAGAATACGGCTCCTCTGGCAAAACTGTTGTCCTACTGATGTTACTGGCTGTGACTACATTATGCTTTGGATGACAGTTCTCTCTGTCTTTAAAAAACCAATTTTCCCAAGATCTTTTACTACTTGGAAGCGAGTTCACTCTTTCACGATAGTTTTCCCAAGATCTTTTACTACCCGGAAGCGAGTTCATTCTTTTATGATAGTTTTCAGGGGAGTCAGAATGAAGAGCTGTAAAATCTCCTGAGGATCTACGGACTTCCATTTCTGAAGAGCTTGAGTCACCTGAATTTTGCTCGTGGAAAGGCTGAGAGGTGGTTGGGATTTTTTGCATGAGTGTATAGTTTTTACTCGACGGTATATTCGTGGCTTTTCCAGGAGATAACTTTTCATCTGATTTTTGCTCTGGAGGAAACTGAGAGGCTTTCACCCTTTTTAGAATGGGGACGCATTTTCTACTTGGAACCTGACTTGAAGCACCAACAGAGGGTGACATGTCTGAATTTTGCTCTGGACGAAGCTGCGTAGCATTCAGGGTGTCTAATGCAGGTGTGTATCTCCTACTCGACACTAAATATGAGGCTTTAACAGAGGGTGGTGCATCATCTAAATTTTGCTCTGAAAAAAACTGATTCACGATTTCTGACAAAGGCGTGTATTTACTACCTGGTTCTTGATTTGAGGCTTCAACAGAGGCTGCTTTCAACTTTGGGTTTTTTACATCATCTAGCGAGGAAGAGCTTGATTGACGAATTCTCAGCGCCTTCTGTTGAGGTTTCTCTACCGTTGACATTTTCGGGGGCACACTTTTAGAGCTGACTTTGGGTTTTACCATCTTTGGACTTGATTTGTAAAACGTCAGAGATTT